TAATTCTTATATTAAAAAAAAGAACTCTAATAGTCTTATTAATTCCAAAAAATTCTTTATTTGACATAAGAAGTCAGATTAATTGCAGGATTTCGGACTCTTCCAATAGTGTTTTTCAGAGTTAATAAAACTTTTTATAGAGAATCTGTGCGGCTACTAAAAGAGTTATTTAGGGTTTTTCAAAGTTATTTTTTCTTCTAGAAACATACTTTCGGCAAATAATCAGTGTAGCTGTTAGAATGGTTAGTTGGAAATTTTTGTACTATAGAATTTAATTGTGCTAAAAACGTAATACTACAGTTATTTCTTGCGGTAAGTATTTGTTTATATTATTACCTTAGTAACTAAATATCAATATAATTGTAATTCAAATAACAATCATAAAGTAATTTTGTATTTTACCGCCAAACCAGAAATGGCGATATCTCGAAGAAAAGTGGCTTTAACTCGTTCGTAACTTCTTTTTAATTCATTGTTATAAGGATCCATCTTCAGTTTGATCACAGTTATTTTTATTTTATTTTATCTTTATTTAATCTCCTAGCAATTGTTACACTGATAAGATTTAATATTAAAATTACTGTCTATTTATACTTAGTGTACAATCATTTTAAAGGAAACACAACATGCTAATTAACAAAAACAATAATATGGTATAACAATCTCTTGAGATATTTGACATTGGTATAGTTTTTTAGATTCAATAGATGATTGCTTCACATAATTTTTAGCTATTTAAATTAACTGCAATGCTTTCCTATAGAAATCCCCTTTTGTATATCCAAGTGAATATCCAAGTTGCTTGCAATCGTTCAACAGCTTACAAAGACGTGGTACAGTGAAGTTGGCACCAAGAACAGTTCTGATGATATGTTATGATGAAAGATTCAGATATTTACCTACAGTAGCGTTATAATTGTCAATTATAATGGATATAAGTTATTTTATGTTAAAATACTTTAATCTGTTCTCTGTAATTTTTTTAAAACAATACAACAATAAATTAAAGTTAATATAAAATTCCTTAAATACTAATACTAATTATAAGTAATCCCCCAACGCACCACACCGAGGCAGCGTACCCAAGATACTGGCAGCATTACCTCTCTGGATTGCCAAACTTATCTTTTGGGCAAAGTAGCTAGCAAAGTACAATTATAATACATATTTGTATAACTCTAAAATCTGGAATCACCTAGGTACACTCAATTTTAAAAGTAACAAAGCATAAAAAAATCAATTTTATTCCACAATTAAAAAAATTAGCTTTAATGTGGAACCAATCAGAAAATAGCAAACCTTGTCAATTAATATTGGTGAAATGGTAAATCAACATTTACGCCAACACTTTTCTATCAGGCGCCTAATCTTAGAATATTCTAAGAATATACATCGAATATAAATCACAATGGTAACTATGACATTTTTTTTAATGGATGACAGTGGAATGGTAACCCCGCCTGCGCTAACAGTATACGCTCATGGAGCACCAGTGAGGGATGATAGGTAAGGATGAAAGCAGTAGGCCTACCATGAAATGATTTCCGAAATTTCGGGGACGGACGAAACAGAAATTTGATGTTAAAATTACATAATACGTTTAAAATTATTAAAAATGTTAAAATATCGTTCCTCTGGACTATTAGGATAGAATTTATGATGTATGAAATCTTAAGCTCCATTTACTGGCTCGATTTCGGTACGAACAAAAACACGAAATTGAGCCCGAAAATTCGGAATTTCATTTCATGGTAGACCTCCAGGTCAGTTAGCTCATCGGGACGAAGAAAACTGGAATTCAGCACAATGGTCGCTAGGAAATCACCTAAAGGTCAACCTAACAGGATATATTGCTAGCAATGGGACTAGTAGTCCGCATTACTAACAATTGCAGTTGTGTTGCGGGCCTTAATTTCTCCAAGAAAAGAGCACATTCCTTTACAAAGGAATAGACTGTATATTTGTTTATGTACACTAAATATTAATAGTTGTAGCACTTCAGCTGCCCGCTAGCAATATGTTTTCTAACTGCATTGGGTTGACTGGAAGAGATCTCTGTCAGAGATAAGTCCACCCTTGCTCACGATATTTATAAATGCATTAACAATGTAATTTACAAGTGCAATAAAGAACACCTATCACATATCATTAGATTTTTTTCTCTTGAAAATTTCTTTTTTGTTACTTTAGAATTAATAATAAAATTATGACGTGTTGATTATAATACGTAATGTTTATTACAATCTGTTTATGTACACGGCGATATAATGTGAAATCAATACATATAATGAAATTGTAACTGGTCGCTGTCTGTACATAGAAGACATATAAGAAAAAATACAGCTACAGGGAGCTTTATGAACGCAATAGAAGCCAAAACAATGATTATAAGAAATTTTGTCCGTTTGTCTATTTGTCTTTGTGTTTGTGCACGCTAATCTCAGAAACGGCTTAACCGATTTGAATGCGGTTTTCACTAATGTGTTGCAGTTTGCTCCACTTAATATTTACTGTTTATTTCATTTCAATCGATTCATAAGTTAAAAAGTTATATCAATCTAAAGAATCACGTATAAAATGCTATAAAATAACCGATCAGTTGAAATGTCTGAAACTTTTTTTTTATTATATGTGCTGATTTTCGAAAATTCTATCTACTCTTGCAAAGCTGGGTCGGATGGCTAGTGCAAATTATAAAGTCACTTGCTTGTGTGTTTAATCAACATTAGACCTTAAATAGATAAGATAAGTGTCTTGGTATTACTGACTAATTCATCCAACAGTATAATCTCGTAGAATTTGATAGTATCTTAAAGAATTTTAAATGCTCTATCTATACCTATCTGGTTTTTTTTTTATGGGTGAAAATTTACCATACCGGTAACCCCGCCTGCGCTAACGGGATACACTGGCGGAGCACCAGTGAAGGGTGATAGATGAGAATGGAAACAGGCCAGTTAGCCCATCATGATGAATTCATCAAGAATTAACCATTATAGTTTCTAGGGAGATCCGCGATACCTGGTTGGGTATATTGCTAGCAATTGGATTCTCAGTCTCTATTACTAACAATACCAAAAAATCTAAAAGGCAAAAAAGGGAGAGCGAGGGATGGACAGCAGCGTGTCTTTAAAAACATCTCCAAAACCTAACTGCGGTTGCCAATCCGCTTGCTAGCAATGGGGTCACCAGTCTTTGCCTTCACCCCCTGTAGGTACATAAATTTGACTCCTATAGGCCTGTTCAATCTTCATCATCATCATTTCAGCTATTATATATTATAGCATCCACTGACTTCCTGTAATGCATTTGAGATCATCACTCCATCTAGTGGGGGTGATCCTACACTGCGTTTGCCTGTACGGGGTCGCCACTCAAGAACCTTTCCTCCACTTCAGCTTATAATATATAAAATTGCCTTAGAAAATAGCAAAATATAAAATAAAATAATACATGTACATATACCTATATAACTTGCAAAATTGTCATGTTACCATATTTAAGACAAGAAGATACTCAATTCATCTAAATTTATTAACCGACTTAAAAATAAGGAGGTTCCTGATTCAGTTGTATATTTTTTATGTCTATCACCTCATAACTTCCTCAATTATAAACCGATTTAGGTAATTATTTTTTATATAAAGAATACGCATACAGATTGGTCGCAAAGAAATTTTATCAAAATGGGTTTGATAGTTTAGTTTTTAAATCAAAACTAGTTTTGCCATAAATTAAATCCGTTTTTTCTTTGTGGGACACAATCATTGTCGTATTACAAGATTATTTTCCAAAAGGACCTGACCTCTTAAAGAAGGCACACATGTGCTCTCTGACATCTTATTGAGAATCTTTGTTTGCGTCCTGGAGTGGGCACTAAACGATTCTAGGATGAACAATTAACACATAATCACTCGCCAATTTAGAAATTTTACTTAAAATTATCTTTAATTATAAAATAATCAACAAAAATCACAAGTCTCGATTCCGGCGCCATCTAGTAGTTCTTGTCTAAGTTTGTTTAGTGAACAACCTTAAGATAGAAAGTATATTCACAAATTTTCTTAATGTATAAAACATGCTATCTCAGGATCTATAAAGATTAACGTAACTTTTCTTTCACACTTAGTTTTAAGGAGCTCTTAAATGTAAGACACTGAGCTAGACACCGTTTAAGTAGATTGAAAGAAAAACCATATAGGTACCTAGTAGATTTTAAAAAAGAACTTTTGTTTTTGCACGTCCGTTATTTATTTATTTTTATTTATTTATTTAACACTTTATTGCAGCAACATAACAGGATTTGTTGAACAATTTTCAATACGTATAGTGTAGTACAAAAGGCGGTCTTATTGCTAAGCAATCTCTTCCAGACAACCTTTGGGTAGAAGGAATTAAAGCATAAATAGGTAGGTGGCGCGTTAAAAGAAATAGATCTGTAAAAAATAATTATCTTATTTCGTTATCTTCACTTATACTTCCGGTGTCGAATGCATATCTTATATATGATGTGAACATACTTGAGCTAACCTAACAATACTAAGACCTTCCAAGAAAACCATATCCCCTGACTAAAGAAATCATTAATTTACCCGAATTTATCTTATCACCAACAAAATATAAAAGCATGAGGATTCCGTATCATTTGTTTAATAGTGAAATGTATATTTATTTATCAACCGGCTTCAACAAAAGAAGGATCACAATTAGGTTATATTTTTTTGTTTTTTTTTTATGCAACTTCTAATGGCAAACAAGCTGACGGCTCCCCTGATGGAAAATGGTAACAGTCGCCTATACATATACACATAAACAGTATCATGGACATAACAGAGTATACTGTTTCGCCCATGATACCTCCCATGCGTTGCCATTCCTGAGGACTCAGATATTATTCCTCTGTACCCAGTAAATTCACTGTCTGTTACTTCATAAGTCCCTTAGTTATAAATCGATTTAGAAAGTTTTTTTTATCACCAGAGGGAGACATTGTCGAAAGTCGATTGCTTGGGTACCTCTGTCCCATTCGTGTTTCTACCTTGAAGCAGTTGTGTTTGTATGGCTGTGTTTCGGTTTGAATATGGCGTGAATTTACAGAAACATATAATATAAAACAATTGTGCTAGCATGGAAATATTTAGGTTAAAAGGGCGGAATACAGCACCAAAATTACAGGGTATGGAAACATAACACCGTAGTCCTCAGAAATGGCAGCGCATGAGTGGTACCATGGGCATATTAGAGTACTATATGATGCCCGTGGTACTGTTCTTGTCTAAAGAAAACTGTTACCACTTTCCATAAGTTAATTTCGTTCCGTTAATTTATTCGCCATTTTAAGTATCATAAATAATCTAAAGCATTGTAAAGGTTTTTCGCATTTGTTTACAGAACCCTATAATTGGTCTATGACTACATAGACACGCATATTGTGCGCAGTTTTAGTTTTTGTTATGACTCTGTTATGTCTAACTTGATACAAATGGAAAACGTGATTTTATTTTTTTTATTTTTCACTTTGCTGATGCACCGTATTGTAGCTGACGAGCACTGTGTTACATTCGATTTCAATGAAGGACTCGACAGCTTCAATTTCGACCACCCAATGTGTAGTAATTATATAAACACATGGACTTCAGAATTCTATAACACATCCACAGTGTCTCCGCCAAATGTAGCGAGTAAAAAATTTATAACACCAACAGGAGAACACAGTTGTGTGGCGTCATTCAATTTTGAAGTGATAAACGGTGGCACTGTGGAAATTCTCGCATATACGGGTGAAGGGAACGAGTTAACCATTACGGCTCTTAACCGAGATAATATACCTGAAACAACAATAGAGTATGATTCACCCGTCTATAACTGGACGTCTATTACAATGGACTTGACTGAAAAAACTTGTGACCCATGCGCTGTGAGTATAATATAATCAATAATGATGCACACTTAACACCTCTAGTGCTGCATACGTCCATAGGCTACAGTAACCGTTTACCATCAGACGGGCTGTATGCTTGTATGCCGCTTTCGTGGTATAGAAAAAAAAAACAGATAAGTGTAAAATATTAAAAATATCCAGTAAGACAATAATAAAATAAAATAGGTATCTTTGAAGAGCTCTTCTGGAATGCAATGCGGAAATGTTATTGGAGTCTTGGATTAAGTGCCACTATTTGCTAATAATTTATATACCAATGGCGATACCTAAAATATGTATGATTGTATGTGAGTTATTTTCTCTTCACAAACAGTAGTAAAAGGTTTATGTTACAATTGTTAAATATAAAATACGATAGTAATAAACTAGAGCATCAGTAGGTAAATATTGTTTAATGAAACCTATTTACTCTTGTCACATGTTATGGGGAATCAGGCTGACTTGACATCGAGTAAAAAGTATAGACTCGTTTTCCTAATAGATGAATACCTATATATACCTATATATATATATATATATAAATTTATCATTGTTTACATGTTATTTTAATAGATACTATGGTATCTCTTAGAATAACATATACAATTATATATATATATACATGAAATGGGGCACTTTATTTAGTTAGTATCCTTCTGTTTCAGATTGTGTTTATTGCCAATATTAGCAGAAACGCTGATATGTTGATCGATTCATTTCGATATAAACCATCTACTGTAGATAATGAACAATGTAAAATATATTCAGAAGAAAATAAAACTGAGACGGATACTACCAAAATAGAGACTACCACTATTGCAGCGAAGACTTTTAATAATACAAGGACGGCAACTGACATTCAAACCAGTACAAAATACATCACCATGCCAACGGATTCGACCATTAATGATATTTCTACCACAGAAACCTATACAGAAATTAATCTTACTTTGACTAGCACCGACTCAAAGATATCTGACATTCTAACCAATACAGAAGCAATTACAACATCTACAGAGTCAACTATTGACGATATTTCTACCACAAAAACAGATACAGGAATTAATCTTACTTTGACTAGCACCGACTCAAAGATATCTGACATTCCAACCAATACAGAAGCAATTACAACATCAACAGAGTCAACTATTGACGATATTTCTACCACAAAAATAGATACAGAAACTAATCTTGCTTTGATTAGCACCGACTCAAAGATATCTGATATTCCAATCAATACAGAAGCAATCACAACGTCAACAGAGTCAACTATTGATGATATTTCTACCACAAAAACAGATACAGAAACTAATCTTGCTTTGATTAGCACCGACTCAAAGATATCTGTCATTCCAATCAATACAGAAGCAATCACAATGTCAACAGAGTCAACTATTGACGATATTTCTACCACAGAAACAGTTATAGAAACTATTCTTACTTTGACTAACACCGACACAAAGATATCTGATATTCCAACCAATACAGAAGCAATTACAACATCAACAGAGTCAACTATTGACGATATTTCTACTACAGAAACAGATACAGAAACTAATCTTACTTTGACTAGTACAGATTCAAAGATATCTGATATTCCAACCAGTACAAGAACCATTATCACGCCAACGAATTCAACTATTAACGATATTTCTACCGCAGAATCAGACACAGAAACTAATCTTACTTCAATTAGCACCGACTCAACGATATCGAGCATTTCCACCAGTTCAGAAACAATTACTACGTCAACAGAGTCAACTATTTACAATATTTCTATCGCAGAAACAGATACAGAAACTATTATTACTATGACTAGCACCGACTCAAAGATATCTGACATTCCGACCAGTACAGAAATACTCACTACGATAACAGAGTCAACAATTAACAATATTTCTACTGTCATACAGAACATATCGCCATGCCAACTTCAACTATTAACGATATTTCTACCACAGATAAAGTTATAGAAACTATTCTTACTTTCACTAGCACCGACACAAATATATCTGACATTCCGACCAGTACAGAAATACTCACTATGTCAACAGAGTCAACAATTAACAATATTTCTACCGCGGAAACAGATACAGAAAATATCGCCATGCCAACGGATTCAACTATTAACGATATTTCTACCACAGATAAAGATATAGAAAGTATTATTACTTTCACTAGCACCGACACAAATATATCTGACATTCCGACCAGTACAGAAATACTCACTACGTCAACAGAGTCAACAATTAACAATATTTCTGCCGCGGAAACAGATACAGAACATATCGCCATGCCAACGGATTCAACTATTAACGATATTTCTACCACAGATAAAGATATAGAAAGTATTATTACTTTCACTAGCACCGACACAAATATATCTGACATTCCGACCAGTACAGAAATACCACTACGTCAACAGAGTCAACAATTAATGATATTTCTGCGCGGAAACAGATACAGAACATATCGCCATCAACGGATTCAACTATTAACGATATTTCTACCACAGATAAAGATATAGAAAGTATTATTACTTTCACTAGCACCGACACAAATATATCTGACATTCCGACCAGTACAGAAATACTCACTACGTCAACAGAGTCAACAATTAACGATATTTCTGCTGCGGAAACAGATACAGAACATATCGCCATGCCAACGGATTCAACTATTAAAGATATTTCTACCACAGATAAAGATATAGAAAGTATTATTACTTTCACTAGCACCGACACAAATATATCTGACATTCCGACCAGTACAGAAATACTCACTACGTCAACAGAGTCAACAATTAACAATATTTCTACACAGAAAATATCGCCATGCCAACGGATTCAACTATTAACGATATTTCTACCACAGATAAAGATATAGAAAGTATTATTACTTTCACTAGCACCGACACAAATATATCTGACATTCCGACCAGTACAGAAATACTCACTACGTCAACAGAGTCAACAATTAATGATATTTCTGCCGCGGAAACAGATACAGAACTTATCGCCATGCCAACGGATTCAACTATTAACGATATTTCTACCACAGATAAAGATATAGAAAGTATTATTACTTTCACTAGCACCGACACAAATATATCTGACATTCCGACCAGTACAGAAATACTCACTACGTCAACAGAGTCAACAATTAATGATATTTCTGCCGCGGAAACAGATACAGAACATATCGCCATGCCAACGGATTCAACTATTAAAGATATTTCTACCACAGATAAAGATATAGAAAGTATTATTACTTTCACTAGCACCGACACAAATATATCTGACATTCCGACCAGTACAGAAATACTCACTACGTCAACAGAGTCAACAATTAATGATATTTCTGCCGCGGAAACAGATACAGAACATATCGCCATGCCAACGGATTCAACTATTAACGATATTTCTACCACAGATAAAGATATAGAAAGTATTATTACTTTCACTAGCACCGACACAAATATATCTGACATTCCGACCAGTACAGAAATACTCACTACGTCAACAGAGTCAACAATTAACAATATTTCTACCGCGGAAACAGATACAGAACTTATCGCCATGCCAACGGATTCAACTATTAACGATATTTCTACCACAGATAAAGGTATAGAAAGTATTATTACTTTCACTAGCACCGACACAAATATATCTGACATTCCGACCAGTACAGAAATACTCACTACGTCAACAGAGTCAACAATTAACGATATTTCTGCTGCGGAAACAGATACAGAACTTATCACCATGTCAACGGAGTCAACGAATAACGATACTCCTGTCACAGAAACAAATACTGTAACTAATCTTACTTTATCTAGCGCCGACTCAAAGATATCTGATATTCTGTCCAGTACAGAAGCAATCACCATGTCAACGGAGTCAACGAATAACGATATTTATACAAGTAAAACAGCTACAGAAACTACACCAATTTTGTTTACCATCAACTCTACGACAACTGACATCTCAGTCAGTAAAGAAACTTCGAGGGATTCGACTACTTACCACATTTCTAATACGGAAACTACTACTACTTTGACTACCACCGATTCAATGGCAACTGAGATACCAACCAGTATAGAAACAATAATCGCGCCAACAGAATCCATTATTGAAGATAATTTTATTATAGAATCAGAAACTATACTCACTTTGTCTATCAATGACTCTATGACAACTGACGTCTCTACGGGGACAATCACTAAGCCAATGGATTCTTCTATAGACGATATATCAACTACCATAGCTATTACTACCATGATTACTACAGATTTTACGACAACTGACTTTCCTTCCAGTACAGAATCGACCACCGTGCTAACTGAGACTACGACAGAACATAATTCTATCACAGAAAGAGATTCTATTATTAATACCACTGAAAGTCTCAATAAATTAAAATCAGAATCTTCATTCTGGAATACAGTTACAATAACTTTAGTAGCTATAGGCTCATTTACAGTATTAGCAGCAACATCTTTTTTACTTTATCAGCTTGCTGTAAGAAAATCTAGAATTGAACTACCTGAAATTCTTTTTTATGATGTTGAACAACTACCCCCGACTCTTCGCCTTCCCAGAGCAAAAGTTACCAATAATCATAGCTTACATAAAGAAACAATAATTTACAATAATTTTAATTAATTATTAAATATAAATATATTGTATTACTTTACGTTCACATAATATCTAACACGAATTGGATAGATGATTTAAGAGAGATCATTGTTACATTATGTTATTTATTTCATTAAACTCATTAAAAATATTTTAATTTTCATACATTTTTACAAAAAAAAAACTGGGACATGTAGATTTAAATTTATAGAACGAAGAGCACGAATAAAGTTTAGAATAGAATAAATACGGTACTACTATACTGCTCTCTCTTTGTGTTGCTCTTATGATTTTCACTCACAGTCTGCCTTTTATTGTATCATCGATAATAACATGAAATAAAATTGTTTTAAGTTTATTATTATGTACTGTACTACTAATTCGATTTCTTTTCGAGGACTTTTCTAGCACTAGATCTGTGCTTTATTTCATGTAACTTCTCCTTTAAACATTATAATCATTAGTCAATCTTTTTGACAATTTTTATACGCCCATAACATCCAAAAATTATTAGTGTATTTAAAATTATTTTCTAGTATGAACCTGGCTACATAAAAAAGATGAATATGGACTTATAGGCAAGTCTTTGTAAAGTTTCGCTTGGCTACTGGTATGGGTATCAGGTTTGTATTTGTATTTATTTAGTTCTGCTACCTTTGGTATGTGTGCGACTGCCAATATTTTTGGATTGACTCCTACTAGGCTATTAGTATACGTAAGCCACTAAAAGTAATTAGCATGTGCTGAAATAAAAATTTGCATGCCTTTAGATAAGGCGAAATGTGTATCTCAATAATTATTAAGACCACATTTCGAGCAAATAAATAAATTATTATTATTATTATTCTGAGGTGGGAACGGTCCACCTGGTGCCCTCTTATATATACCACACGTATACCAATAACTGTTTTAAAACTTGTTTTTTTTTTTATATTATCGTCGTGTAAATTATAATTCTTCGACAAATAAAATATTTATTGAATTTATTGACGTACGTTTATTTAGATTTCTTTAAGCTATTTATTCCGCAGTTTATGTCAAAGATTCGGAAGTCATTGTACAGAATGTATATGTCAGTAGCCTTTGAAGATAATATTCTACTAATGAAACATAATTTCCTAATAAACATAGGTCTAAAAATCGCAAAAAAAATTGAGACTCCCCATAACATACCAACTGGACTGATACTGGCCTGGTAGTCCTGGACACGTCATACTAAAATTTGTGTCGCTTTTCAAACAAAATCATAAATAAGTACCACTTGTACATAACTTGCTAAAATTATTATCTATAATTACAAATCAATGTACAAATAATATATGTATTGAAATTAATAATGTTTAATTAATAGATTATTAATAAAATGCGATAATGAAATAAATACTTTACTTTGATTTATTTTATCCTTATGTGACAATCCAAATACTAGAATAGGCGTTAATTATTCAGGCATAAATAAGAATGAAATTTGTTTCAATATCAACTCGTTTAATAATAAACACAGTAAATGTTATTTAGTAGGTATACTAGAGTCATCTACTTGCCTAGTTCCAGAGATGCTTTCTCTCATGAATGCTCTGGTAACGGAATTAGCTCCCTGTAGAAGTTTTAAGGATACATTACTCGTCACATTCACCAAAGGGAGACTGTACAAAAGTAGTTTGCTTGGGTACCTTTGTCCCATTCGTTTTACAACCGTAAAGCAGCTGTGTTTGCATGGCTGTGTTTCGGTTTGAAGGGTGGCATATGGCGTGAATTTACTGGGTACGGAGGAATAACACCTGAGTCCTCAGGAATGGCAACGCTTGGAGGGTATCATGAGCGAAACAGTATACTCTGTTATATCTATGGTATTGCTCATGTCTATAGGCGACGGTTACCACTTTCCATCAGGTGGAGCGTCAGCTTGTTTGCCATTTTAAGTTGTATAAAAAAATAACTAATTATTCGTACCCCATCGCTATCGTGAAAAGGTACCATATTACTGATTCGTATCGTATCATATCAGCCGTTAACTGTCCACTGCTGGACATAAGGCCTTCCCATAAGGAGAGTTTTACCAGTAGTTGCCACGCTTGGCAGGTGGGTTGGCAACCGCAGTTAAGTTTTTAGAGATGTTTTAAGACACCCACGGGGAAGGAAGGGGTGGCCTATTCTATGCCGGGGCACACACGGTGACATATATAACAACTTAATACTAAGAAATAACAACGAGTAGCGTGCAAACGAAATTTATGATTGATTACTTCCTTTCTAAATTGTATAGAAAATCTACCTACTTCTTTTATCTCTGATTCGAATGAGTACATACAGTAGCTTTTTATTGTTACGAAATCACATCAAATAACAAATTAATCGATAATAATTACATTTACATAGGCCTATTATTAATTGGAGGCCAATAATCTTTTTATCTTATCATAGACAAAAACTAAATATCAAGCTTAATACGTGGAAAGACAACAACATAAGGATTCCGTAGCATTTGCTAAATAGTAAAATGTATCAGTGAATAATAACTATTGTAATTATTATGTATTATTTAGGTATGTGTATATACGAGTATGTATTATTTATGTATACGTGTATGTAAGTGTATTTATACACAGCCGTGAGCGCGCTCATGAATAAGGGTTCCCATTGTGTTTGAAATCAGTCGGAAATCCACGAATTTAAAATGTGAGTAAAGCCAAAATAGACGTATAATATACATGTGTATAATTATAATATTGGATCGATTGAATATGAATATTGAACTCGATTTCAATTGTTATAAAACCAATTATTCTGTTTCAAAAACTAAACTACTGAAGAGATGGAGGAAGGGAGACTTTGTACAAAAGTCGATTGCTTGGGTACCCCTGTCCTATTCGTGTTTCAACCGTGAAGCAGCTGTGTTTGCATGGCTGTGTTTCGGTTTAAAGGGTGGGATATGGCGTGAATTTACTGGGTACAGAGGAATAACGCCTGAGTCCTCAGGCATGGCAACGCATGGGGGATATCATGGGCGAAACAGTATACTCTGTTATGTCCATGGTACTGCTCATGTCTATAGGCAACGGTTACCACTTTCCATCAGGTGGGCCGTAAGCTTGTTTGCCATTCTAAGTTGTATGAAAAAAAAAGATAAAATTTCTACGGGACTAAACTGTAAGCATATCCTTTCAGATGAAAAGATAATTTTCCAAATCGGTTTATAACTGTTAGAGTTATGAGGTACCAAACAGAAAAGAACAACCGATTTGAGAACCTTCTTTTTGAAGTCGGTTGACGATATAAAAAATTGTTATTTTATATAAACTGTACTTATAATAAAACGGAAACAACACCCTCGTCTACTTTTTTTTTGATGGGTTAAAATAGTATGGTAACCCCGCCTACGCTAACGGGATACGCTGGCGGAGCACCAGTGAAGGGTGACTGATGAGAATGAAAACAGGTCAGTTAGTCTATCATGATGAATTCATCAGGAATTAACCATGATAGTTTCCAGGGAGAACTTCGAGGATATCGACCTGGTTGGGTATATTGCTAGCAATGGGATTCTCAGTCTCCATTACTAACAATCCCTTTCCTCCCTAACCATCGTCTTTTGCTACCACTACTGCCACTGTGCGGCTTAAGTATATTGTCCTTTATTGTCTTCTATTAAGACTCAGACTAAAGCTGGTAAGTGTAAAGCTAGTAAGTCAAAGTTTAGATTCGCTCACGAATTGTAGTACCTAATCAGTCGACACTGCGAGAGAGTGAACTGTTAGTGAATGGACTAGCAACCCCATTACTAGCAAATTCAATTAAAATACCATCATGGCTCGTGCTGACTGACTTGTATCACTCGTTTCATTTTCACTATGAAAAAATGTACAATAATCTATAGTATATCTATTGTAAAATTTATGTATTAACTTTTATGTTACATTATATAAATTTTAATGGTGGTTTACATATGATATCCAACTTAAAATTTTAACGAAATCAATGAAAAAATAAAGAAGTTCTATAACCACAACTTACACAGCCAACTTACAGCCACGACACAGTTATTTTTAACTAATTTGGCTGTTATCGTACACAAACCCTACTTTTGTAATTTTTATGGATCCAATACTTAATGACTACTATAAGATGGCCCGGCATAACTGTATAATTCTAACACATTTTGTTATGGAACCCCAAAATTGGTCTTTGATCGTATATATACTCGTAATATACATGGATTTAGTTTTTGTGGTGACTACGTTATGTATAACTTAACACAAATGGCCAACACTAATTTAATTTTTATATTTTGCACTTTGCTAATACACCGTGTTGTAACTGACGAGGACTGTGTTACATTCGATTTCAATGAAGGACTCGACAGCTTCAGTTTCAACCATCCATTATGTAGTGAAATTCAAGATACATGGACTTCAGAATTCTATAGCTCATCCACAGTATGTCGACCACATCCAGCAAGTGAAAAATTTATAACACCAACAGGAGAAAACAATTGTGTGGCGTCATTCAATTTTAAAGTGATAAACGGTGGAACTGTAGAAATTCTTGTATATACGGATGAAGGAAACGTGTTAACCATTATGGCTGCTGATCAACATAATATACCTGTAGAAACTATAATGTATGGTTCACTGGTGGATAACTTTTCACCTGGTTGGACATTTATTACCATGGATTTGACTAAGAAAACTTGTGATCCCTGCGTTGTAAGTATAAAATAGTTAATATCATAAAGTAGATAGCAATAAAATCTCATGAAATATTTTATAAAATAAGGATAATATTAATGAAAATCGTTAAAGAATTCTTCTGAAATGCATTCTGAAATGTAATTTGAGTCTTGATAATCCAAGAGTGCCACTATTTGGTAATAATTGATATACTAATAACAGATATACCCAAAATGATGAAATATTCACAGTTTATCCATCATCCTTTTCTCGCTCAACGCTCTTTAATTAAGTAATTATATTGTAAGAAGATTCACATCTGCAAAAGTATCCTATCAGTATATAAATCTTGAGAAAATTTATTAACTAATACGAAAGTAAATAATTCGATTAAATAAGAGACTAAAATTCTATACCAACTATTTGAATGAGTCGTGGTCCTCAGCCGTGTGTTTTTCAAAGCATTTACTTAGACGGACTACCATGCTTTGAAATCAACTTCTAGCAACAGTATTTCCAAATCAATATTACATCTTCAAGGATTCTTTATAAAAGGCCAGCAGCATAACTGCAATTCCTCTGGTGTTGAGAATACTCATGGGCGGTGGTAATCACTTACTATCAGGTGAGCCGCATTCTCGTTTACCCCCTATGTTTTAAAAAAATTGATTAAACAAAGTTCAAGTCATAATTTGCGAGAATTCAATATATTTATATATTGAATATAAAACCATATTTCTTTTAAAAACCGTTGTAAAATCTATATTAAACAAAACTAGTCTTGTGGATGCAATTAACACTAGAACGAAAAAATTACTTAATGTTTTTTAAGTTGACATAATTTTTTCTAAAATTGTATTTTGAGACCCTACACTGTTAAATTATTGTTCAATTGATCGAACTCCCTCCTATTACTTTTTTTTTTATGTGAACAAATTCTTAGTTCTACGGTAGCGTGTCGTTATGTAATTACTTGAGATTAGCAAAAAACAGCCCACTCACAATGGAAGTAACAAATTGTCACCTGTCGAGATAAAAAGTACCATAAATATCACAGAATATACTTTATATGTACATAATACTCTTTATTAGTTCCTGAGGCAAATCATGAGATAGATAGATAAAAATTATAGCACAAAGAGTAATTATTAATACCATAAGGAAATTAGTATCTTTTTGTTTCAGATCGTGTTTATTGCTTTCATCAGCGACAATACTGATATGTTAATCGATTCATTTCGATACATACCATCTAATATAGATGATAAAGAATGTAATGTATATGCCGAAGAAGACACAACTGTAGCGGATACTACGACGACGGAAATTACTACTGATGATGCAAGTACTTCTGATTATACAACCGTACCTGAAACAACAACAACCTACACAGATGAGACAACTGCATTTGAGTCTACAACAATATTATCAACAACTAATTCTGAAGAAACGACTGCTTATGATTCGTCAACCACTGATTCAGCGACATCTGATGACACAACGCAATCCGAAACAACATCAATTTCAACAAATAGTTCTGAAGACAGTACTGATTCAACTTTGACATCGCACTTAACTACTTCCGAGAAAACAACAAGCAGTGACTCTACTACGCCGATATTAGAGGAGACAACTGTTTCAGATTTAACAACAACTATACTTGAATCTACAGCATCTATATCTACAATAAGTTCGGAAGATACAACGATAACTGATTCAACGTTGCCATTATATACAACTACACCTTATGAGATGACTGAGGAGACAGATATTACAGAAGAATTGCAGACAACTACAGAATTACCTGAAGAAGAAACAACGATAGAAGTAGAAAGTGATACTAGTCCATCAGAAAGTACTGATTCTGGTAATAATACTACTGAGAGTCCAGATAAAATAGAATCGGAATCTTCACTTTGGAATACATTTGTAATATTTACCTTAGTAGGTGTGGGCTTGTTTACAGTTTTAGCGGTGACAGCTATGTTATTCTATCAGCTTGGTGTAAGAAAATCTAGAAGCGAATTACCTAAAATTCTTTTTTATGATGTTGAAGAACTACCACCGACTATTCGTGTTCCTAGAGCGAGGGCTGCTGATAATCATAGCCCATACAAAAGAAACGATTATTTTCAATATTATTAATTATTTCAATATTATTAAATAAGTAAATGTGATGATATGATAGGTAATTTCATTGTGTTAGTCTTTTTCATTAAATAATGAATCTCAATTTCGTTGTATGTGTACCAAATATTTTATTGAATATAAAAAAAAAATATCATAAGTTAACCATGCCAATGCTTTTTCTTGTGTAATTGAAAAACATTATAATTATAATTCAATAAATAAATTAATAAAATATCATTATTAAAAATCGGATGTTGTTTGCAAAACATGCCATTATCTTATCTTACTAATGTAATGAAATTGTATCTGGACAATATTTGTACTTGAAATGTATTTAAAAAAAAAGATTACGTAAGGAGTTTGAATAGGAGCAATAGAAGATAAAGGAATATTTTTTTGAAATTTTGTCTGCCTGTCAATATTTTTGTTTGTATGTTTGTTCCGCCATCATACATAAATTAATACAACAAGTTGAACGAGATTTTCACTGTTGTATTTCTGAAGTTCTAACTTTAAAACTGATGTATGTTTTATCAACCCACATCAAAAAGAAGATTCTGAATTCGGTTGTACATTTTTTTATTTTTGTTACGTCATAACTCCATCAGTTATAAACTGATTGGGAGATTTTCTTCTAAAAGGATAAACTTACAGAGTGATTCAATAGAAATTTTATTAAAATCAGTTTAGTCGTTTAGTTTTTTATTCAAAATAAATGGTTTTGCCACAATTGAAGGCGACTTTCTTATTGGAACACAATCTTAATTATGATACTTCATCTAAAACTTTACTATTTCACTTGTTTTCTTATTTCTGAAATACGAAATAAAAAACTAGATTAAGTTACATAATATATTAAGTCTTTCAAGGCACTTTCTTCCACGTACAACCACTCTTTGGAATCAACTTCCAGCAGCAGTATTTCCGAACCGATACGACAACATAACCTTCAAGAGCATAATCCTTTTTAAAAGCCGGTAGCACATCTGCAATACCGTTGGTGTTGTGGATGATCATGGGCGGCGGTAGCCACTTACCGACAGGTGAGCCGCATGCTCGTTTGCCCCCTGTGTTGTAAAAATAAAATTCACAAGAATCCGACTAACCGCACTTTCTTTAACAGTCGGTTAAAATTTTACTTTCGTATGATTAATATATTATAATTTTTTGTTTATTTAGTCAATGTAACTCAAAATTCATCATCGTTATATCAGCCTTTAACTGTTAACTGGTAAACATAAGCCTTCTCCTTAAAAGGCTTTGCTAATAGCTGCCACGTTTGACAGGCGGATTGGCAACCGCAGTTAGGCTTTAGTGTGTAGACTGTGCGGGGAGAAATCGGAATCCATGGAACACTTGATGTGCAACTGCGATTCGTTGGCAAGTATGCGTATGAGTCTACTGGGAACGGCTTATCCAGAACCAGGGGACTACAGATATCTTAAACCGCGGGATATCGTCAAGGTAACACAAAGGATCTATGAAATGATGGTATAAAGCAGGGGGAAGCACAAAAGATCCCAATGGGTCGACGTGCAACAGCTTAGCTGACCCCATATGCGAATATAAGATAAGGTAGGCTTTAGAAATGTTTCAGAGGCACGCCATTGCCCATACCTCGCCCTCCCTTAGTCGCCTCTTAGGACACCCACGGGAAAGAAAGGTGTGGCCCATTCTGAACCGAGACCACTGGACCACACCGGTACTTAATGATTAATGGATGGGTAGCAGTGCCCCTCCTAAAATAATGCTAAAGCCTAACTGTTGGCAAAACCCTCCTTATGGAAGAGACCTACGTTTAGCAATAGACCTATCTTTACCTACCTAAAACGTCATCATTGGTCATTCCATCGGAGCCCATGTATATGCATGAAATCAGTTTTTAAAATTCAGGAAGCAAGATATGTATTTTTATACAACTTAGAATGGCAAACAAGCTGACGACCCATTTGATTGAAAGTGGTAAACGTCGCCTATAGACATAAGCAGTACCATGGACATAACAGGGTATACTGTTTCGCCAATATTACCCCCCATGCGTTGACATTCCTGAGGACTCAGATGTTATTCCTCTTTACCCTGTAAATTCACCCTTCAAACCGAAACACAGCCATGCAAACACAACTGCTTTATGGTTGAAACACGAATGGGACAGAGGTACCCAAGCAAACGACTTTTGTACAAAGTCTCCCTCTGGTTCCTCCATTCTTTACATAAGAAAAGTTCGATCATTCAACTTGTAGTGATTTTATTTCTGTTAGTGTTTCAGGTTTATTTGTGAAGTAACAACAAATATATATCATATTCAAATATTTTTTTATGTAATCCCTCACTGTTGCCGCGCCAGTGTATACCGATAGCACAGGCGGGGTTACCATTCCATTATCATCTATTAAAAAAATACACCGTCATACAAGCACAGCTGCGTGACTGTAAGACACAAGAAAGACAGAAGTTTAATTTTTTTGCAACAAAGAAAAGGTAGGTCAGTTAACCCATCGTGACGAATTCAACGATAAGTTTCCAGGAGGAGCCGCATGGAGGTCGACCTAATAGGATATATTGATAGCAATGGACACTAACCTCCCCATTACTAAAAATCCCTTTCCCCCAAACAAAGTATACTTATTCTGAATGACGTGGCAAATATAAACAGAAATTTCCTCCACGGACTAATTGTCACTTGTCTGTGCAGGTAATTTATGGTTGTACAAATTAAAATACAATTTAATACACAGGTAAACCATGCCATAACACGTAAGTCTCGTATAAATCATTTTTTATTCAAATTTACGCGGGTAAATACGAGATATCAGTAATTATAATAAATTATTCATTTCACGACACGACGCCATTTCCAATATCGATAGGAAATATAAACCAATAAACGACGCTATTTTTATCAGGCTTACAGTAAAATGTTCATAGGGAAAGATAATGATAGTGTATTCGGAGCGATAATGAATCCAAATCAATTATTTGTTTATTGCAACAATGAAATATTTGACGATTTTGTGGACCCTAACGTTGTTAGCGGTCGAAAGTGTTTATACCAGTCTTGTCAATATACATTTTGAGGGGTGCGTGAATAAAGCCAATTGGAATATAGTGCAATATGATAACATTGACGTGTTACTGTTGAAACGGAACAAGATAATTATCGGAGCGTCATTTGATAGTTGCATCACGTTGGTTCCCGATTGTAATTTGCCTTCAGGAAGTATATTCCAACTGGAAGTCTACACACGACTGCATAATGAAAATAGCGGTTTAAAAGTGATTATGTATCCAGAGAACGGCCTTCCACTCAGTCATACCTTTAAAAGATCTGATATTTTCAATCAGGATCAGTTGATACCGGAATGGTTGACTCTTACTTTTCCGGTTCCAAATGATACTAAAAGGGTAAGTTAATATACATACATACATACATATCCGTCACGCCTGTCTCCCATTAGGGTAGGCAGAAACAATGGAACGCCAAATGCTTCGATTCAAACAAACCTCTTTCGCTTCTTCCTCTTCCTTTCCTTCTTCTTTTTTTTAAGGGTAAGTTAATATTTTTTTTACATCTCTTTTGTAATATTGACAGTAATCGTAAGAATGTTTTTTATATTATTATCAACTAGAAGAGATTTTTTTAATTAAATTGAGTGAAAAAAGATAGTGAAATTATTGCAATCGTAGTTCAAATCTATTAAGAATGGAATGTAAATCCTTAGTTTCCTAATTTTAATATCCTATTAGGTCATTTGAGTTTACAAATCCCCATAAACTAGTAAATTATAAGCCGTAGAAGGAATATGTCATTTTTACGCCATATCCTATCTGAATACGTCATTTTACGTCACACCTTATCTGTGTATGCCATTTTTATAATATTTTTATTTATTCTTTATTGTACACAAAAAAAATATTACATATAATATATATAAAATAAAGGTGTACAATAGGCGAGCTTAACTCTGTAAGAGTTCTCTTCCAGCAAACCCTGAGTGGAAAGGAGCATTAATTATTTATTAGCGGGCAGTATGCGTACAATAATAGAAGGAAACATTATTGATGTTTCTATTAAAACATATGAAATATGTTGACTACATAAATAACTCATACAATTAAAATCAAAATAAATACATATCTGTATACATATACATATATACATAGACATAAAATATCTCTTTACATACAAAAAAATAGGTACATATACATACATAGACATAATAAGTTTATGAGGACAGAAGATGCTCTTTTAATCTGCTCTTGAATATATTCAGCGATTGACTTTCACGAATATGCAGTGGAAGAGAGTTCCATAGTCTAGCCGCATGAACCGTAAATGATCCACTATAGCATGAGGAGGTATGAGGAGGGATTTTAAGAATAAGGGATTTACTCGACCTACTGGACATGCCAGTGGGGTCAAGGAAAGTGAAACGTTCACAAAGATAAGATGGAGAGGAAGAATTATACAGTACAGAATACAGGAAAGATAAAAGATGAAAATCACGACGTTGACGAATTGGGAGCCATTTTAATATGCTTCTGTAAGAGGAGACATGATCGTATTTTCTAAGTCCATAAATAAAACGTATGCATAAATTCTGTAGCCGCTCCAACCTATTTAATTGTTCCTCTGTGACATCTAGATAACATACGTCAGCATAATCTAGAAGAGGTAGTAATAAAGCTTGGGCGAGTGTGATTTTCGTTTCAATGGGCAAAAATTTCTGAAAACGTTTGAGCGAGTGAAAAGAAAAGTATAGTTTCCTACTTACTCCATTGATATGCTCACCCCAGGATAAATTACTGTCGAACATGATTCCAAGATTTTTGGCACTTCTAGCATACGGAATTGGAGATTGCTCATAGAAAATAGAAGGTAAAACATCAATATCAAGAGCACTATATCTCCGATGCCCCCCGATTATTAATGCCTGAGATTTACGGGGGTTGACTAGAAGTCCGTAGGATTTTGCCCAATGGGATATTTTATTTAAATCATGGTTTATATGATCAATAGCCTCAGAGATGTCACAGAGTTCAAAGTGTTGGTATAGTTGCAAATCGTCTGCATAGAGATGGTAGGGAGAAGAAATTACTTGAGTAATAGCATTAATAAATACTGAGAAAAGAAGCGGGGAGAGAACGCCGCCTTGTGGGACTCCAGATGCAACCTCACACCAATCTGAGTATACCTCATCATAGCGTACGCATTGCAATCGGCCCCGAAGATATGAATCTAACCAATTGATTACAGGTGGAGATATGTTAAGAGATGAAAGGATACTTAAAAGAATGTCATAGTCAACAGAATTAAAGGCACTGCTGAAGTCCAATAGAACAAGGAGTGTCAGGGAGTGGTTGTCCATAGCCCAGCGTATATCATCAGTTACTTTGACAAGTGCACTAACTGTGCTGTGACCAGGACGGAAACCAGATTGATAAGGACTCAGCAAGTTATGGCCAGACAAATAAACGGATAGTTGCTTGTGCACAATGTGCTCCAATACTTTAGATAAGGTGGGAAGTATTGAGATAGGTCTCAGGTCAGAAATAGATATGGGATTGGATGTTTTAGGGATAGGAATAATGTGTGCTTTCTTCCATAGCTCGGGAAAAGAGCATGTGTCTAAAGAAAAATTAATTATATGAGTAATTATTGACAATAGTTCATCAACAATGGGTCGTATCATTAGAATGCTCACACCGTCTGCACCCGAAGCTTTGGAAGAGATATTGAGGAGACATTTCTTAACATCACACTCTGTAACCATGCTGAAAGAAAAGGGATTACACTCGGGTCTAGGCATTTTCAGAAGGTGATCAATAGTAGTATTTTTGACATTATTGTCTAGGTATATGGGTGATTTAGAGAAATGTTTGTTGATGTCATTGGGATTAAAATTGTTAGAGATCTCTCCAGTAGACTTACCAATGCCGAGTGATTTAAGAAATTTCCACAAATTTTCCGGGTTGTGGTCAATTACTGAATTATGTATATAGCGACGTTTAGAATCCCTACACATTCTAGTGCAGCGATTGCGTAATCTCCTATAAGTAGTCAGGTTATCCTCCGTTGGTGATATGCGATAGCGTCTCTTGGCTTTATCTCGTTTAGACATTAAACACTTGATACGTTTGTCAAGCCAAGGTGCAGGAAGATGTTTAATCTTGACTCTTTTAAGGGGAGCATGAGAATCATATAGTCTGTTTAAGACACTATTAAATTTACTGACTTTGTCATTTATGTCAGAATATTCTAAAATTGGATTCCAGTCAACTTTATTAGCATCTGAACGCAGTTGTTCCAAGTCAATCTTGTTGTAGCTTCTAAGAAGTACATATTTGGAAGAAGGTTTAGGTGTACGCACACGATACGATACATAGATTAAATCATGATAAGAAAAAGGAGCAGTTATTTGTCCAGAGGTATTAACATTATCAGGATTGTTTACAATAATTAGGTCGAGAAGTGATGGGGAGCTGTGAGGGGCGTGATGTGTGGCTAAAGATGGAAGGATATGCATATCAATGGACGAGACCAAACTACGGAGCTTCTGGGAACGGTAATCATTTTTTAATAAACAAGTGTTAAAGTCTCCAAGAATAATAGTATGGTCGTATAAAGTTGATATGTTTTCTAAGTAACTTTCAAAAGAAGAGAAGTAGTCTATATGACATGACGGACTATAAAAAACACCAAGTAGTAATTTGGAGTGTAGGAGGTTTAATTCTATAAAAAGATATTCCGCAGACTGAGAATAAATACTAGGAGAATGGTCAACAATCGTATACGATAAACCTGTTCGTAGGTAAATAGCCACACCACCTCCCCCAGCCCCGGTTCTATCATTCCGAATTAGTGTATAACCTGGTAGGGAAAATTGAGTAGATAGGAGAGAAGGTTTGAGAAAGGTTTCGGAAATAAGGACAGCATCCACTGTGTTGGGATCGAAACTAGACAAAAGATCATCATAGTGAGCAGGAACACTTTGAGCATTGATATGGACTATATTTATAGATTTGCTTTTATTGTATGGTAACATTATTTGATTCAAACGGCGTAACAGTAATGTAGACTCATCTTCAGTGAAAGCACTAACATAACTGTCGTCAGAATTGGCATTTGAAGAGCAAGAAAAAAAATCGTCATTAAAATTTAATGACATTATAGTTATAAGATAAATAAATAATATATTAATAATAATTATATTTAATTCTAAAGGAAGCTTTAAGTTTCAAACAATAAATGCACCTTTGCACTCATCATTAGTTACCTATATTATACAAAACAACATAAGCCGTAATCAAGTATTACGAATAAAAACATTTAAACAAAGACCATCTAAAGTGAAGGAAACTCACAGATATAGAATATTCCCCTGAAGAATATCCCTAATCCATAAACATGTATAACCATAGATTAAGGGTTAGCATGCAGATACAATATTTATGATACTGGCAACTCAATGTAATGTTTGACTTTGACATTTAAATATCTGAGAGGTGTAAATGACTGCAGTAACTAAGAGCGTTGACAATTTGTTTTGAAATATGTTATGTTTTACTACCCACATAACACTACAAGTACTTTAATGAGGCAGTATAATTTGATTCAAAGCACATTATCAAGCAAACAAAACACAGTGCACACTACACAGAAAGATGCGATCTCAAAAATTGTGATAATTAAATTAAACAAAAGTCATAGTAAAGCAACAGCAGAGTAATATTTACTTATTACCGCGTCTGGATCTACCCGCCTTAATGTTTTTTGTAGGAGTTGAGTCACTCACGTTATCAAGCTGCTTCTCTCGAGACCCCCGTTCCGGGACATGCGATGGGAATTTCTTTAATAGGAAATTGAGCTCAGACATAGTTTCGATCTTATGTCGACTTTTGTCAGGAAGCAATAATATAATCTTGCCCTCTGAGGTCCAACTACTCTTCACGCCGAACCGGGCACGGGCAGCATTGAATACATCATGTCGAGGCTTTGTAAGAAATTCCGATATAGTCAATCCAGTACCCTTGAGCAACGTCTTAGCCTTCCAAACAAGATCACGATGCTTATACTGCTGGAAACGTACTAATAAGGGTCGCTTCCTACCTGTGTCCGAGCCAAGGTGATGACATGTAACAAGGTCATCTGATGAGATATCCGCCAGTTTTAACTGTTCAGAAATAACTTTAAGAACAGCAGATTTCACATTATCCTTTGGGTCTTGTACACCATGGAAGAGAAGGACTTTCCTGCGGGAAGCCATTTCATGCCTGTCAAGTCCAAGATATAATAGCTCCATTTGCTCCTTGATAGTCTTCAGTGTACTCCACATTAATTTCTTGAAGTCACTATAGTCTTTGGACAATGCCGATTGAACGCTCTGGGTACTTCCATCAGGCTGCGAGAAACTCTTCAAGTTTTCTTCATATTGTGTCATACGGCTCTGGAATGTATGACTAAGTTCCTCCATATTACTCGACAACTTGTTGTATAGATCCATTGCTGACACTTATGTTATCCAGAGGTTGTGAAATGTGAGAGGATTAGGTGCAGAGGTGACTATTGTACAATATTAGCACGTATGTACCATATACATTTAATTTCTATAATTTTAAATTAAATAAAATGAGGAGCCACAAATTTTTACTGTGCGTATACCAACTACCCGCTACTATTTTTTGTAATATCATTCCCTTTATATTGGTGGGTCAAAACATATATATATATATATATATATATATGATTTTAGTTATTACCTTGGTTGATTATTTAAAAATTTAATAATTGTTAGATACTTTGTACGACTTTTAATTGAGCACCTCTGTCGTATTCATTCGTAAAGCAGTTGTGTTTGCATATCTGTTTTTCGGTTTGAATGGTGGGATATGGCAAAGAATTTACAGGGTTCAGAGGAATAACACCTGAGCCCTCAGGAATGGCAACGCATGGGGAGTATCATGGGTGAAACAGTATACTCTGGTATGTCTATGGTACTGCTCATGTCTCATGTTAAACTACTGTACATATTTGAATAATTTTTAACAGAGGAAAATATATAAAAGCAACAAACATATATAATATGTAATAAAAATATTTTTTAATAATATATTATTATAATAAAACTAGCTATTCGACTAGATTATTAATAGATTGAGATAGAAATTGGACTGTCGTTCATAATACCAAGTATAAGATATATCCTAAATTTGATTTACAAATTCAATTAAACATTTATTTATTTATTTGCTCTTTATTGCACCACTTAATTAATAATACAAACATGTATAATATTGGTAAATATGTAATGTTATATATTTCTGTCTCTGCCAAACTCTTACCTAAAAGCAGGGGAAAGGATGTTAACAATGGTGTTTATCAGCCCCATTGTTAGCATTATACATTATCAGGTCAACTTCTACGCGATTTCCCTGAAAATCATAGTGATAAATTATTGTTGAATTCATCACAGGGGAACCAACTGATCTATTTAGTCTTCATCTGTCATCCTTTACTGATGCCCCGCCAATATATTTCTACAGATTACTGTTTCATTTATACCCATTTAAAAACCGCTTCAAAGCCTAAAGTTATAACCGACCTTATGTTACACAAATTATTTTAATTTATACTTATATTGTTATCTCGATTATTATCGTAACATTCCAAAGAGTTGAATACAACAGCATACCTTTGATATCTTAGAGTGATATAAAATTCCTTTATCAATTTCCATTCTATCACGTTTCACACTAATCAAACCCTAGACTATATCTTTACATTTTTGTCCTGATGGATGTCTAATAATTATTTTTTACTAGCTGTATTTAGGACATAAAGTATACTATATCCTAAATTAGGATATAACCTACCCATATACCAGGGGGAAAGGGATTGTTAGTAATGGAGATTAAAAATCCCATTGCTAGCAATATACCTAACCAGGTCGACCTCCTCGTGGTTCCCCTGGAAACTATCATGGTTAATTCCTGATGAATTCATCGTGATGGGCTAACTGGCCTGTTTTCATTCTCATCGATCACCCTTCACTGGTGCTCCGCCAGCGTACCCCGTTAGCGCAGGCGGGCTTACCATACCATTTTCATCCACCAAAAAAAACCCATATACCAAATGTCATTCCAATCCGTTCAGTAGTTTGTCTATTCTTTGCGTGAAAAAGTAACAAACACCCATCCATCCACTCATCCCCATCTATCCTTTCAAACTTTCGCACTTATAATTTTATAAGGTTGAATTTTAATACACTTCGATAAAGAAAAAGGCAGGCAACATCATATAGCGTTATTAATAAACATATTACAATTAATTATTTCCACTCCTTTCCAACATATTCCTTACGTAACATGAGATCTTGTATAAAACAGACCATCTAGATTGATAAATGTACACAGTTAAAATGATGTATTTAAATCAAAACGTCTATTACATATTTTAAAATCCTCCATCTATAATAGAAAATCGATTCAACATATATATATACAATAATAAAGTCATTTCATTTCAGATTGAACTACACGGATTTACTGAAAATGATGAAATCCTTCTAATCGATTCAATACAATTGATATTAAATGATGTTTCTTATCAAGATAATCAATTTACTACAGATAATTTATTAACACTTTTTGCATATAATATTGTTAATGCTGGTATATACAACGAAAATCTAGTAAGTAGCGATAAAATTATTTATGACAGTCAATCTGATGCTAATAGTGAGTTTAATACAGAAATAGACAGAGTAAGAAGATCTTTAAAAAATTGGAACGAAGATGGTAATACAGATACAGAATTTATACTTTATGATCCAATCAAATATGATTTAATAGCTAATCAACCAACGATATATACAGACACTTTTATAGAATCTCCATACGATGATTTAAATGAAAACAGCATAGTGTCGTCAACGTCTACTGAAACAACGTCCAGTGAAATATCGAATAGTGAAACAACGACCAGTGATCCAACGGCTAGTGAAACAACGACCAGTGAACCAACGGCTAGTGAAACAACGACCAGTGAACCAACGGCTAGTGAAACAACGACCAGTGAACCAACGGCTAGTGAAACAACGACCAGTGAACCAACGGCTAGTGAAACAACGTCCAGTGAAACAACGACCAGTGATCCAACGGCTAGTGAAACAACGTCCAGTGAAACAACGACCAGTGATCCAACGGCTAGTGAAACAACGTCCAGTGAAACAACGACCAGTGATCCAACGGCTAGTGAAACAACGTCCAGTGAAACAACGACCAGTGATCCAACGGCTAGTGAAACAACGTCCAGTGAAACAACGACCAGTGAAACAACGACCAGTGAAACAACGGATAGTGAAACAACGACCAGTGAACCAACGGCTAGTGAAACAACGACCAGTGAAACAACGACAACTCAAGCAACAACTATTGGAGAAAACCCAGACTCAACAGAAGATACATCAATATTAGTAATTATACTGATTATTGTATCTGTCGTAATAGTTTTAGCTTTATTAGGTGTATGTGCCTATTTCTTAGGGAAGAGGAAGGCGAAAGTCGAACAGCGACCTCTTGAGGAAGACTTTGATCCTGAAGCAGAGCCACCTATAACTATAACTATTCCTCGTGTTAAAGGCGTGTATTATAATACAGGTTCAATTTCACCATCACGATATATATAAGTATGAATATAAAAACTTTAGATTACACAAAAATATTTCAATTGATACTCGTATTTATGAAAAAATTACTGAATATTTGTTAACTCTAAGCAAAGATGAAAAAGACAGTGTTAGAAAAAGAAGTTAGGTAGTAGGTAGTTAGCTTAAAACTGCTTGTCCAAAGTGGGTATTTAAATAAAAACATATTACAGTTCTACAACCACAATGGAAGCATTTAAAAATCGCTTAGTAAACTCTTAACCAAGTACACAAAGAAAAATTAACATATGAGAAAATGGGAGCAAACCATACACACCATCATTTAGAATATTCTTAGGGCTTTCTTATCAATTCTTTTGTCTTTCTTGTACGTGTTGTACAGAGTATGTCAAAAAGGTATTTATTTATTTGAGATACAGTGTTCCTTTGCGGTACTTCAAGAATAGACACGTTCTCGATTGGATTGTATTTTTTTTTTGTTAGTATTACGATATTTCTTCAACAGCTTTTTATACTCGTGTTAATTGTGTCACGAATTCACGATTAAAGTCGTTAATTTTGCGAATCAAATTTTTAATTTTTTTTTTTTTTTTCGTTTTTGGATCAATATTTGCAGTATTTATAAAAGTATCCGTTGTAGCTATTAGTTCTGATTTAAAATCTCAAGTTTGACATAAAATTACAATAACACTGTAATACGATAATACGAGTAGGTAGTACAAATAGAAAGGTTAAACAAGCTCAAGTGTCAAAGGGCTGGGCACATAGCTTGAAGAACCGATAACAGATGGGGAAGAAAGGTTCTTGATTGGCGACCGCGTATGGGCACACGCAGTGTACGACGACCACCCACTAGATGGAGTGATGACCTGAAATGCATTGCAGGGAGTCAGTGGATGCAGGTGGCTCAGCACCGTTCTTTATGACAGTCTATGGGGAAGGCTTATATCCAGCAATGGGTAAAATGATGATGATGATAAAGAGAATGTAAATAAAACAAATGTATTTTAATTTTTATTGTAATATTATATGTGGTATGTATAATTAATTAACAATGACAATTGTTTATTTAGAATTATATAATAAGTTTAATTATAGAAATTAAAATAAATGTTTTCTTTTTTTATCAAGATGAATGATTTAAAGGAAACAGGAATTAACGCGTTCAAATTCTAATAATTATTCACGTAAATTATAATAATTCACATGAATTGCCTCGACGTTCGACCAGGCTACACTGGTCATTCTCACCTATCATCTCTCACTTGAGCCCCGCCAGCGTATACCGTTAGCGCAGGCGGAGTTACCACTCCATTGTCATCCATTAAAAAAACATCCAGTATAGTGACACAATTTGGGTGGTGGGACAATGACTGCAAGAAAAAACTTTTGCCTCGGAAATGGAAACATGACAGCGCTACATCAGTTTATTCGTAAGTAGACTGATTAATACGTGATAGAACTGGGGGTCTACCATGAAATGAAATTCCGAATTTTCGGACTCAATTTCGTGTTTTTGTTCATACTCAAATCGACCCAGTAAATGAAGCTTAACATTTCGTTCGTCATAACTCCTACTATAAAAGACCAAAGTCAGGATATATTAACTTGTTTAATATTTTTAAACGGTGTGTATAATGCAATTTTTGCATCAAATTTGTGTTTCGTTTGGCTTCGAAATTTCGGAAAACATTTCATGGTGGGCCCTCAGTACTGAAAACGGTTCCTCACAAACACAAACAGAGCACCACGTCTGTACGAGTATATGGTCACACACACTGAAGCAAAAAGATGGAAGGACATGCCATGCTAACATCGACAATATATACTATTTCGTTCCTCTAGTTTCCTCTAACAGCGTCCAGGATATAAAAATTAGTTATGACATATGGTTACAGTGGTCTCTAATTTCACTTAAGTTAAAAAAATTTGAATCGTTGAATCTTTTAATCTAAAAGGAAAGAACGATTTTAAACAATTATCCTATCTTTAAATTCATTGCTACAAAAAAAATAATAATATAATACAAACAGAAACAGAGACTGTGCTAAGTTTTTTTTGTTCATCTGTAAAATGCCAACTTTTGGCATACGTGTCAAATTTTGAGCTAGAACTTCAGTCACAATATTAAACCTTTGTTTTTTTTTTTTATTTTTACAATATTATACCACCACTATCACGCCATAAGCTTAATAACGTATGTTTAAAAATAACTATTAATTTTTAACGATAACAATTAAACAAACCTGCCGACGCACGGTACTATCAGGTGAAAACAGTATCGGGTAGACGTGGAATGAGAGGACATGAATAGCACAAGATCAAACACAATGGAGGATCACTATGGATAACGTGAACTCTGCCTCGTCGAGGGGACACTGCAAATGAAGTTTCAAGCGCCTTCAAAAAGGAGATTCAATTCACTCGCAATTTTTTTATGTTTATTACCCCATAGGGTTCTAAATTAATTTGGAATACACTATTTATCTGAAAGGACATATTTACAGATGGGTCCTATACAAATGTTATCAAAATCGATTTAGTAGAATAGTTTTTAAATAAAAATAACTGGTTTTGTCACAATTGAAGTAGGTATTTTTTTTATGGGACATCATTAATTATAATAATAAAAATGAACTGGCAACCCCGCTGGCGTCATTGATTTATATTACCAGTTATTGATTATTTAATTAACATTACGCTAACATTACAAATATGGTAGGTGGTATAAAGTCGAGTCTTTTTTCATGAGATGAAAATGGAATAACAGCCCACACGTGCTAACGGTATGCGCTGATGCAGCATCAGTGAGGGATGATAGACGAGGATGTTATCAGGTCAGTTGACCTATAGTGACAAATTCTTCAGAGATTTTTTTTCAATGGATGATGAATGGAGTGATAGCCCCGCCTGCGCTAACGGTATACGCCGGCGGGGCACCAGTGAGGGATGATAGGTGAATAATGAAAAAGCAGGTCAGTCAGCCCATCGTGATGAATACGCCTGGAACTCAGCACGATGGTTTTCAAGGGGAACCGCGTGGAGTTCGACCTGACAGGGTATATTGCTAGCAATGGGACTGGTAGCCCGCATTACTAACGATCCCTTCCCCCCAATTCTTCAGAGATTAATCACGACGGGTTGCAAACGATACCGCGTGGAGGTCGAGCTGACAGTGCATACAACCATGAGACCACCAGTCCCAATTAATAATCTCACTCATTCCCTGAAATTGACATACATATCCCTGTCAAGATTTTTCCAAGAGACTACAACATGAGGTTCTTCAAAAAAGAAATAAAGAAGTTTCTTCAGCGTCAGCAACCCACGGTAACGGTACCGCTACGGTAACCGCTTACCATTAGGCGTATGCTTGTTTACCACCTCAACTGTATATAAAAACAAATTACTATTTGCCGTGGACGAAAATATAAATGAAATGTAAGTATGGTGAGTATTAAAGACTGTTTTAACAGTAACTTTAAAGTTTAAACATAGAAACGTTCATTAAATAAAATTAATAACAATTCGAAACATAAAGTTAATTAATCAGTTATTATTTGTCTTATGGTCGGCTCAATTATTATTTTGTTTACATTCTCATCAAGTTTCATTGAAACAGATTATATGTAGAGTGTGGTAAATCGTCCAATATATAAAGTGATTATTTAAGAATGAAAATTATAGTAAAAGTGGTAATGTATAACAGTAATTTTAAAATTATGTCAAAGTCTATATATATCAAAATATTTCCAGCCATTGTCAACATAGAGTGCTTAAATTGATGGAGTTTTTTTTTTGATGGGTGAAAATGGTATGGTAACCCCGCCCGCGCTAACGGGATACGCTGGCGGAGCACCAGTGAAGGGTGATAGATGAGAATGAAAACAGGTCAGTTAGCCCATCATGATGAATTCATCAGGAATTAACCATGATAGTTTCCAGGGAGAACCGCGAAGAGGTCGACCTGGTTGGGTATATTGCTAGCAATGGGATTCTCAGTCTCCATTACTAACAATCCCTTTCCCCTTCTATATAGATGGAGTATCTCCATACAAATTATAGTCTTATACATTTTTTTAATGCGTAAACACACATTTTATTTATTAAATAATACGTCAAGATACATTGTATGCGTAAATATATAGAATACTGATAAAAAAAAAAACGAATCAACCAATTTGACAATTAACTGACAAAAAGATGACTTCTTTTTTCTATGCTCTATCTATACAATCTAAAGGCTTGACCAATCGCTTAAAAAACATTGATATATACGTGTTCTGTAGATGGAGAAGAACAGAAGCTACTTATTATCTCGGTCAGTGAACACAACCCGGTCACGCGGACGAAGTCGCGGGTTCAAGCTAGTAAGAAACATGAATGAATACGCAATTACATAATCAAGGTAAGACAAGCATGACCATTTGACCAAAACAATAATAACCTTTGAGACAGTTTTTAGTCATCGCAAGGTCAATTGTCTCACCTCACAACACACGTGGGTGCTAAGGTCACAACATGACCATGGCAAAAAATACAATACAGTAGTACAACTTTTTTAATGAATAAAAATTAAATGATACGCCCAACGATAATACTAATGATGTACGATAGAAAATGACACCAGCGGTTTTATGTGCGTAAATCAATATATAAAATATCTTACATGTCAGGGTTGGCCAACCGGTCGATCCCGACTATTAGGCCAGTCGATCGTGGCAAGACAAAAAATATAATATTTTGCTAATCTAGCGGAAGAGACCCAGACGCAATGCTCACACTAATATAAATAAGTAGTTACTAAAAATAATACTATATTAAGAGAATAATAGGATTTTATATGTTGAGCTAGAATATAACCTATTCTTGTACTAAATTTTCGTGTAAACTTTATTAGAATAAACAAAAACATCTTTGTAAAATGTCAATTTATTAATTCATACCAACTAATCACTGTCCACTGATGAACATAGGTCTTCCCCATAAGGGCAATTTTACCAGTAGTGGCAACACTTAGC